GGTGGGCTTAGCCTCACAATGAGCTATCAATAACGTAATTCAATCAGTTGTTCATTCAATATTATTTTCTCTATTTTTAAGCGCATTCAAAACATCTTAAGAGACGTGTAATGCCAGTTCTAAAAAAGGTCTTTTGCAAGCGAATAATAAGGTGATTAAATTAGTTGTCAAATGAATTTTTTTTTTTTTTAACAAACGATGTTATCTACACTAAGGGGGAGGGGTGAGCTTAGCTTCACAATGGGCTAGCAACAATTTGATTTAATCAATTGTTTATTAAATATTATTTTCTCTATTGTTAATGTAAATTATATAGAAACCAATTTTATTATGTGAATTCAGCTGCTTTAATTGGTTTATGAGGGGTATTAAATAAATTGTCAAATGATTTTTATTTTTATTTTTAACAAATGATATTATCTATGTAACATCCCACATCGCCTAGAGGAGTGGATCCTGTAAGCCTTATATGTATATTCTCATCTCTACCTAGCACGAGGCCTTTTGGGAGTTCACTAGCTTTGGGTTCCGTAGGAACTTCGAAGTTAACCGAGCTCGCGCAAGAGCATCCCCAGGATGGGTGACCTATTGGGAAGTTCTCGTGTGAGTTCCCAAAAACAAAACCATAAGGGCGTGGTCGGGGCCCAAAGCGGACAATATCGTGCTATGGTGGAGTCGAGACTAAGATGTGGTGGGGGTCCGGGCTGGGATGTGGCAATCTACACTAAGGGGGAAAGGGTGGGCTTAGCCTCACAATTGGCTAGCAATAATGTAATTCAATCAATTATTTATTAAATATTATTTTCTCTATTCTTAATGTAAATGCTATAGAAATCGATTTTATTATATGAATTCAGCTGCTTTAATTAATTTATGAGGGGTTTCTTGTAGCGAGTATTTATCAAATATAGCAAAAAATTAACCCTTAATTTCAAAAATGTCACTTTTTATAAAAACTTTCAAATATATCCAAAATTTCACTTAAATAAACACAAATACCCTCAAATTTAACAATTAAATAAATTAAAAGCTTTTTAGCTACCGTCGCCTTAAGCTCCAATCCAACTTCACCTTCGCTTCTACACTCCACCACCATAACCCTATCCCCTTCGACCCCCTCATCACCAACATTGAGCGCCGTCACGGCTACCGCAAGGGGGAGCAACATAATTTCAATCATGTCTTCAACGCGTTTTTTCTTATTAATATCATTTTTAGTTTTAAATATAAAAATGGTTTTTAAAGTTAATCAACATGTCGTTATATGATTGTATTTGTAAGGCCCATGTGGCGCCACATCATCACACTAACAGAGCAATTGACAAATTTTTCACGAAAAAACTAAAGTGATCACGATGGATAAATTCAAAGAAAAACTAAAATGATTCACGATAGACAAATTCAAGAACACTATTATTGATTATCATTAATTGTTAAGGATCAGATTAAGGAGTTATGTCAATGTCACAAACCATTTTGGCTAAAAAACCTTTAATTTATTTGATTATTAAATTTGAGGGTATTTGTGTCATTTAGGTGGAATTTTGGATATATTTGAAAGATTTTATAAAAAGTGACATTTTTAAAATTGAGTGTTAATTTTTGATTATATTTGAAAAATACTTTTCTTCTAGTATAATTTAAAATTATTCATTTACTTCAAATATTTAATTTTCATTTTATTAATTTATGCATATAAATAATACGTCGTGATTTAAAAAATACTCACGTGCGTGCGTGAATGCTACTTTAGTAAGGTTATGATATTATTGTGGTTGTTCACCATTAATTCTCGGACTAAAAAATCCTCTTGTTATAGTTTAAACTTGTCCTAGTCAAAGTAAGATTTCTAGGGCATTTGACTTTATCAGGCCATATCAGTGATGACGAGTGAATTCAGCGATCCGAAATACTTAAAACGATTGAATCGAAGAGAGCGTGGTGCAGCAGTATGGCAGGGTCCCGTCATCAATTCCTGCCCCCAAAAGCATGATGACCTAAAATCTGTACTATGACTAAAATACCCATGTATTAGTAACAGAAAGGTGGGGTCATGGGAGGGTATTCAGGGAAGAATGTGCATCGGGAGCGTGAAGGGGATTCTGGAATTCTGGTAGGTTCTGACCCCTTCGTTCTTTCTAAAGTGCATTTTTTATCAACATCATTTATTACGATGTATGCTCACCATTTAATTTATTATCATTAAATAAGTTTAAATTTTAAAATTTATACTTATTTACCACACGAATATAGAAATTCAAACTCATATAACTATAATAAATAAGTTGATGAGTATTATATTAAATAATAGTGAACAAAAATGCTCTCTTCTCTTTGAGCATGTATTAAGTAGGGGGGAGTAGGGGACTGCTCTCCTGCCTGGGACTTCGGGTAGCAGAAAATGAAAGTCAGGACTATGCGATTCCCAAGGCGCACTCCCATTCTGTTAAGACTAAAGACTTTTAAATATATAAATAGGAGATATGCCAAAGAAAAACTATAAAAGATATTCTCTATGCATTTTCTGTCATCTTATGCAGATTATTTATCGTCTTATATTTTAACATAATAGTTTATAATAATAACATAAAAATTAATGTTAAACTGTTAAATTTAAAAAAATCTATCGCAACTTTCACTTTAAAAATCTTCTTAAAACATTCACAATACATGAGAAATTTCTCTGCAGGTTTTAAACACAAAATGTTTTATCACATGTAATTAAAGTCGAAAGACCTTAAAAAATATAATTTAAAATGTGACACCCGTATCGTCTATTTATATTAAGACTCGTCGAATACCTACATTTTTAATTAAAGTTCTTATTTGGTGTTAGTACTATTTAGTATGATGGTATGTTGTGCGTGTCATAATACACATTTTATGTACTTTGATGCATGCAACATGAACATCGATGTCATTTATGATTTTTTTCTTTTCGAAAAATGATCTGCTGGTGATAAAGTTATGGCAATCGATCTTTTTTTGAAGTTAAGAAGATTTACAAAGATATTTCAATCTCTTTTTAGTTATTATTGTATAATTCATGAACCTAAAGAATAAAATTCAAAATCCACCGTGTGAAATAAATTTTTTACTTCGTCCACCGTTGAAACATCCGTGATGGTTGTCATTTGTGAATTGATATAGTTTTTGTCTTGTTTCACAACGATAAAGTTTAAGACCGACACCAAACAATTAGGAAAACGCAACTTTGGCGAGGAAATTCCGAAATCTTGTCTACATACAAATCACAATTTGCATACCAAACTTAAATAAGAAGTCATACGCGTAAAAAGAAATCACAATTCCTTATTCTGTCAATCAACTTAACGCGTATGCATAATTGATTCATTAAAAACGAAAGAATTTTTTTTATGTGTATATATATAAGTTAAGATTCGGGACACACGCTTTTTATTTGCATTTTGAAACATGTTTTTTAGAGACTCATTATGTAATATATTTTAACGATCTAACTGTCTATCTTTTATATCTCACCTCAAATATCGTCTAATAAAAATTACCTAAATCCGAAATCACGTGATTGATGAATTAAATTTAGTGTTTCTTTGTACAATCGTATTCGTTCATTTTCTTCATTATAAATGAATATTTGATAGTTTTGAATTTGGCTAATTTTTTGTAATAATGATCGATGACTAATGTATAAAATATAGACCGCGTGTGTACCCAAAACTAACTCAAACATATACATAATGTTTTTTCTTTTGTTTTTGGTGAGTTATGCATATGCCTCAAGTTGACTGAGAGTCAAGAAACTGTGGTTTTCTTTTAGCTTGTATGACTTCTTAATTACCTTTGGTATGCAAGTTCTACGTACGTTCATGATCGTTTTTCAATAAATTTCAATAAATTATTATTAACTAAAAAATTACAAGGCACTAAACAGTATGTGATTATATTAATAAACAACACTTCTTCGCATTATTCCTCACAGGTGGAGCCATATGATGTGATGCAGCGTGACAAAGAGAAGAGCAAACACCAATATTCTTAAAGAACAAGGGCACTGGAGTCTTCCAAAAATTATGAAAAAAATAACCTCAAAGTTTACTATTGAATAATTGCTAAGATAACAAACTAACGGCAAGATGAAGTATTTAAAATGTAATTTAATCCTCGAAATAACCTAGTAAAAAAGGAATCAAACAAAGAATAAAATACAAGAAACGTCCTAAAATATCAAAGTCCGATTTGGGTAGTAAACGATAGAATCTGGTCGAAAAAGCCCACAAATAATTTTGATACCCTTTGCCGTGCTCTTCGAAATGTCAGGTCATGGACCTGAATTGGACATGCAAGCTCAAATTTACAGTGCTTTGTTCTGGTCCGGTTTACGCTTTTCGACATCATCTTTAATTCATCTGCTATATCATGCACGATGAGGATTTTGTGTGAGAAGAAAGTGGTGCCTTTCGGTTGGAGACAAACATTTCCATTAGCAGTTAAATTATTCAGTGAGATCCAATAAGTAAAGTGAATTATGTAATGTCATAATGATAGATCCTAAAGTTTAACCTATTAAGGGAAAGAGATTTGTAATTATAAAAGAAAAGACTGAAAGGAGGGTTAGGAGTCCACTCTAAAGTATTCTAGGAGGAAAAAAAGGGTAACGTACGGTAAGGGCATAAAATTATAAGCCTATATAAAATATTAGGAAACTAATGAAAATGGTTTGAAAGTTTTGAGTTTTAATGACAAAGATAAAATAAAGGGTAAAATGAATAATACCATAATTGATTTGTTAATATAAAATGTGATTTTTCGTTAAAGTAAATAATATCGGAAGTTTTTTGTTAAAGTTTCCTAAAATATTAGGTAGACCGTACAAATAATTTGTGAAAATTAATGTAGTTTTTTCCAGCTTTTTCATGGCACCAAGCCTCCGAGAGAGAGAAGAGAGAGGTGATGTCTGTAGTTTTGTATTTTATATCCCTCACGTACCCTCCTTTACTGCTATAAATACTGCTGCCCCTTCCCATAACTCATAACCCTCCATACTCAGATATCTCAGAAGCTCTAGCTAGCAAGCTTCATCTGCTTCTGCTGCTGCTGCTGCTGGCTCATGAGTTTAAAAAGTGTGGAAGAATCTGTTAAGCTCAGGAGGGATAGCGCCATTCTCGATTTGGTTTAACCACGTATAGCGCTATCCATCCTGAGTTTCATGGCTTCTTCTTACTCTCTCCCTGAGGAATTGTGGCCTTTTGAGTAAGGTTTGTAGTTTGTTTTCGCAATCTTGTTCCTCTCTATTAGTAATGCTTTGGTCTTATGTTTGAGAAGGCTAATGTGCTTTGCTATTTGAAAAATCTCTGTTGCAAGTGAAACCTATCTGCTTGAAAGCTGAAACATTAGCAGACTCAGAGTTCATTTTGAGTTAAATAAGGGGATCTCAATTGTGTGTCAAGATTTCAAAGAGATGAACTTTAAAAAGACATATTAGCGGGCCTTACATTTGAACAAAAAGATATTTTTCAAAATTTTAAAGAGACAGATCAACAAAACTTATATCCGAATGATGGGATGTAGGCCAGTTGATTTTGATTTTCAATTTATCTCTTCCTTTTACATTTGAATTTGATGTTTTCCTTTAATTATTTTGCAATTTGAAGCTAAATATTTCCTTACTTAAACTCAACTTGTAAAACCCCCAAAAGCCAAAGATTAAGCTAAATATTTCCTTAATAAGTTGATGATTTTCATCTGATTATATTATTATTATTATTATTATTATTATTATTATTTGTTAAATTCCTTTGATTATTTTTGTTAATGATGAACCGGACCATCGAAATTGGTCTGGGATGAGAGGAAACAGGAAAGTTAACGTGACGAATGTTGAATCTCCTGGGACAGGACGTAAAAATACTCATCAGGGAATGACAATTCTAACCGTTAAACCCGATAACCGTGGACAACCATCCGAATGGATTGGATTTGGGTATGAAAATTTGGGTATATTTTGGGTATGGGGAAAAACCGTGAATATTATTTGGTTATGGTTTTGGATATGGTTATAAGGGTCCTCAATCCATATCCGTACCCAAATCCGAACCAAATAATATATAATATGTATATATATATATATGTATATTCATTATTTATCGAAGTCATTACCTTGAGAATACAAAAATTGTATTGTGTGAGTTGCATTTTATGGCAAAGTTCAAAAGTTTTGATATGAATCAAAATCTATGAGAATTTAATAGTATTTATGCGAGATATCACGGATCAACCAATATTATCAATGTTTAGCGCTATCCATCTTGAGTTTCATGGCTTCTTCTTACTCTCTACCTGAGGAATTGTGGCCTTTTGAGTAAGGTTCGTAGTTTGTTTTCGCAATCTTGTTACTTTCTCTTAGTAATGCTTTTGTCTTATGTTTGAGAACTTTTGAGAAGACTAATGTACCTTGCTATTTGAAAAATCTCTGTTGCAAGTGAAACCTATCTGCTTGAAAGCTGAAACATTAGCAGACTCAGAGTTCATTTTGAGTTAAATAAAGGGATCTCGATTGTGTGTCAAGATTTCAAAAAGACGAACTTTAAAAAGACAGATTAGCGGGCCTTACATTTGAACAAAGGGATCTTTTTCAAGATTTTAAAGAGACGGATCAACGAAACTTATATCCGAATGATGGGATGTAGGCGAGTTGATTTTGATGTTCAATTTTATCTCTTCCTTTTACATTTGAATTTGATGTTTTCCTTTAATTATTTTGCTATTTGAAGCTAAATATCTCCCTAATTAAACTCAACTTGTAAAACCCCAAAAGCCAAAGATTAAGCTAAATATTTCCTTAATAAGTTGATGATTTTCCTCTGATTATTATTATTATTATTATTTTGTTAAATTCCTTTGATTATTTTTGTTAATGATGAACTCCCCTTCATTAATTTGTTGCCTTGTTTGCTGCCATAGCTAAATAAAAAAACAGATTAAAAATGGGAATTGTTATTAGCACTCCAAAAATCTTATTTTACACTCTAAATTTTCTATATTAGGAAAGAAAAATACATTTGTGAGAAGTGTAGAATGAAATTTTTAGAGTACCAATAACATTTCCCTTAAAAATATGCAAAAACAACAAATATGAAAGTGAAGGACTTATCCGTAGTCACATGTAAAAGGTGAAGAACTGGAGGATGTTGACCACTTCCCAACCCAACCTGGTGAATAAGTCAGGGGCCTCTGATATTTCCCTTTCAATTGCCTGAAGTTTGGCTTTAGAGATTGTGCAATTCTGGCACCTATTTTCGTACTCTTTGAGTATTTGCTTACCATTTCGGGTAATAATACTTCATTGGCTTGTTGCTTCCACTAAAATAAATACCATTCACTCATGACTGGCTTTTAATTTTCTTTTTCACATTGAGGATTTTATTCTCTCATGTGGGTTTAGATTTTTCGAGATTTTTTTAGTATTTTTTTATGTATTTTATACACTTGACGTTTTAATCGTTCGATTCTTTGTCACGTATCCAATAACCAATATTAATTGACAAAAAAAAAAAAAAAAAGGGTGTGCATGGACGGAGGCAATGAAATTATGTAAGATAGGGTTATGATGAATTTTTTTGTTCTCAAGTATAACAAACAAGAGGTTAAAGTCGCCCGTCTAAATAAAATTTCTACCTCCATCGTAAGGTATGATGGTAATCTATGGCCTGTTTGGAATTGCATTTGGAAGACTAAGAGTGTTTTTGACAACTAAAAATATTTTTTGAATGTATTTGGTAAAGAGCATAAAATTAGTTATGTGCTTCTTCAGAAAATACTCAACTTTAGTTAGCAATTTATTTATAAGTAAACGCATTTTCAACAAAAGCGAGAAGAAATGCTTATATTGAAGCAATCCAACACGAGCTCTACATGCAATTGATTTTATAATAGCTTATCATTGACAAATCTTAAATATTCATCATGCAATCCTTCGTAATTAAAAAAACGAATAAGTTTACAAAAATTAAAGAATAAGAATCAGTATTAGTATCTAAACCACAAAGATTATCAACTAAATTTGATGTTTAATGACTGCAGGGCTTTGCTGTTTAGAGTATGGAAGGATGGAGATGAGGACCAAAGCTCAAGTCATGCAGACCTTATCTTCAGAAATGGAGGCTGTAATATAAACATGTTTACAGATATTGAGGGAGAGAGGGAGACAAGCAAACGTAGAAATCAGGAAACTGAGAAAAAGTTCCTTATAAGATTTTTGTTTTTTCTATGCGGTTAATGTATAAATAAAATACCGAATTAGTTTTGTCCCTTTCACAATTTGATAATGTCCATAAGATTAAGATATCGTGATGTCATGTTTAATTACGTGAAATGAAAACTAAGATTATTACGATTCTTGTTCTTTTTAGCATTTATTAAAAATGGGTATTAAAATATGTTAATTCCTGATTTTTCTCGTGTTTACTAACACATGAAATAAGAGATTGAGTCAATTCTACTTTAAAGATTCTTTTGAAAGTGTTTTTAAAATAATTGAAAACACTTTTGATGAGACGAGCCCTAAAATCCGTCATGCAATGAATCCGTCTTCTCAAAATGCTTTCAATCATTATAATATCATTTTCAAACGAACCATTTTTTCTTTCCTTTTTCGATGCATTACTTCCTCCATTACAAACAGTAAACAAGCCATTGAAAAAGTCAAACCTCATGCAATGAGCAATTTGGTGCAATCACGATCGAGTCAGAGTTTTTGCTTTTTTTTTTAATTAGATAATACTAAGTAGACTAATTTTTAGATCAAATTTTGTAAACTAAATGATGTGGTTGGTAATGATTTAATTATTATCTAAGTATTGATTAACGTACTTATTCATTATTAGTGACACATCATTTAGTTTGCACGTTTGGCTTAACAATTTGGTCACCCTAACATTATAGTATTTTGTGCTTATCTTTTGTTGAAATCACTTCACGTTTAGTGATTATGAGAGGAAAAATTCTAATTTTCTACTTCTCCACATTTATTTAAAACATCGAGTACCTTCAAAATTTAGAAATTAGATTAGCTGGGAAGAATAATTGATTCAATCTCATTCCTTACTACCTATATTCTGGATTTCCCCAATTGCTTACTTCTTTGATACGTAGTAAGTTTTTTTTCCTAAAAGACTTGTTTGCTTACTCGGAATGAGACGCAAAGTTTGATTATCTATACCCATTTCAATCATATCATATTATTACCAGTAGTTGTTTATCTCATTTATGAACAACTAGATATCATTACGATATCGCTACCATACCTAAAAATGTAGGTACACATGCCCTATCGTTGAGGTAAGATATTTACCCACAAAATATGTAGAGGTGGACACCCCATGAGCACTAGTAATTTTGGTAATCAAATTTGCTTGTGGAAGATATTTGATGGCCCATTGGTCTTGAATTGATGCGCATTGGGCTTTGACAGCTCATTGGGCTCCAATTCATGGTAACCACACTTTTAGTTAAGGCGTCAGGCCCAACAGTGATATTTTTCTGAGCGCGAAATCTAGCCGTTAAAATGGTCGCCACAGATAAAGATACAACAACAAAACCATATGGTTGCAGGCCTTCTGCAACATTCACACACTCGTTCTTTATAAAATGGAGTCTGGAATTTGTTTGTTTAAGAATTTGAAAAATGGCGAGTGGTCTCTCACACCACCACCTTCTCTGCATGTATTCCTCAAAAACCCACCTACCGTTTTCAAAAACGCAAACACTTTTCAGAAACCCGAAATCCTCCTCCGTTGCTCTGCGGACCCATCGAAGTCGTCGTCTCCGAGAGACTCCAACACTTCGCTGCAAAGTTCGCCGGAAGAGCCGAAGCCCGCCAGCGCTCTTAAGCGGGCCGACCTGCCCGGCCAAAACCCACCTCCCAGATTGTCTTCTTTCGACTCCCTCTTCATCCGCCTTAGTCGTTTAAGGTAGATTTTAATCTTATTTTATGTACACAATTTCAAATTCATGGGTGATTAGCTTTGGTGTGTTGTGGGTTGTTGTAAATTTGTGATTTGATTCATTGGCATATGATTTCAGAGATGACAGGTTTAAGCTTGACGGATTTTTGTGGACATTCTGTCGATTGCATTGCCTGCTGCTCTGGCTCTTGCTGCTGACCCCATTACCTCTTTGGTTGACACAGCCTTTGTTGGGCATTTAGGTATCAACTTTGTTCCTTGATTAAGCTTAACTAATTAATAAATGTTTGATTTTTATTTTTATTTTTGTTAATTGATACAATTATGTGTGTATTTGATAAATAATATAAGAATTCCATGTCGGATTTGACAAAATAAATTACAATTAACAAATGGTTCTACTCCTAATGACACTGAGGGTTATGTGATAAAACTCCATACTTGGTGTGCTAGTAGGGGGTAAGATATTAGGTCATTTCCCATTGAAGGAGAGTCAGAGGGCTCGTTGGAACCTTATAGCCCTCTAAGAAAGTAATATTTTAATAAACAGTACAATGCCATATTTCTTTCCATCTCCAACTGAGGGGCCAGAGGGCCATAAGCCAAACATAGTCCTATGACAAAAAACCATTTCCAACCGAGGGCCAAAGGGTCATAGGGTCAAACATAATTTTTATTTAAATTTAAAAACTACAATAACTTAAATTTAAAAAAGGTCCAAATAGGTCAAGAAGGGCTCGTGCAAAAATATATGATGGGCCGAATTTGCCTTTGAATCCGAGAACTGGTAATATCTCTTTAAATAAGTACATGAGGCGCTATAGGATGACTCCCGTGCCACAAACAAGTACTTACAACAAGATCTTGTTGCACATCTTTAGGCCAAAAGAAGTATGGATTAGACGTTTAAGTTTTATGTAGTTAAAATTTTTTTTTATGTTATTTAATATTGTTTAATGTTGTTTCATGTGACTTAATGTTATTTAATGTTGTTTAATGGCTTAGGAAGTTATAGGAAAAAAAAAAATTTTAAGTTTTTTTTTAAAAATTGTCTTAAAAAAATAAAATAAAAATCAGATATAATAGCTAGCTGACGTCAGCATGTTAGGCCATCTCCAACCGAAGGCTGGTCAAATAGCTTGTTTTAGCCCTCTGGCCCTCCAAGAAGTTAATATTTTAATGAACACTACATGGCCATATTTCTTACCATCTCCAACCTAGAGCCATAGGGCTCGTTTTAGCTCTATCACAAAAAACCGTCTCCAACTGAGGGCCAAGGGGTTATAGTATGGAATGTGAAGAATTGAAATAAAATGAGGTAAGATAGTATGAAATGGTGAAAAATATGTGAGAAATGGTGTAGGAAAAAATTAGAAATTCAAAAAAAAAAAAAAAAAAAGGTTCAAAAAAAAAGAGAAAAGTGGGTTGGGCATAAAAAAAAAAAAAAATGGGATGAGACCAAAAAAAAAACCTAAGCCCTAAACCCTAAACCCTAAAGTGGGTTGGGCAAATGGAAAACAACAAAAAAAAATAAAAAAATGAAATTGGGCTAGCCAGTGGGCTGGCTGGTTGGCTCATTTGGGCCAACCGGTTGGCCCTTTGGCCATTTTTTGTCCAGTGGGGCCCACGAGCCGTTTGGCCTAACCCTCGGTTGGAGATAGTTTTTGGGCTATTTCGGCCCTCTGGCCCTCTGGACCCTTCGGTTGAAGATGGCCTTAGCAGTGGTCCTTCATCCGTGTATCTGAAATCTTGACAGTTTCTGCTTTGTGTAGGGTCGGTTGAATTGGCAGCAGTTGGGGTGTCAGCTTCAGTATTCAACTTAGTTTCTAAATTGTTTAACGTTCCATTGCTCAACATCACTACATCTTTTGTTGCTGAAAAGCAGGCATTGGCTAGCAAGGCCGAGGATGGTAATCAGCAACTTTTTCTAGAAAGATTTGTTATATTTGAAGTTCAGTAATAATACCTTACTTTAATCAAAATGGTTTTGTGAAGATTTTCAGGGTGACAGGCAGAGCAAGAAGCTCCTTCCCTCGGTGTCAACGGCATTGGCTCTTGCTGCCACCTTTGGCGTAGCTGAAGCTGTTGCACTTTTTCTTGGGTCGGGTGTCTTGATGAATGCCATGCTGTATGTCAATCTTCACCAATTATCAGTTTAATGTGATGCATGCTACTTTGTGCTACTTTACTCTCCATATGTATCTACTTACTTCCGTCGAATTCAGTTTGTCTATTGTCTTGGTGCAGTTTCTTTCTTTCACATGATTATGAATATCATGATTGATTTTGGAGTTGAATTTCGTATTTGTTTAGGTAGTTTTTACAGTCGCTTCTTCACTAGTATGTAGCAAACTTTTTCCTTCCTTTTCTGCGTTATTAGAGACTTTATCACAGCATTCAAATGAAATTGAAAGGGGTATCAAGGTTTCCTTACCTTGAAAGGGGCTTCAAGGTTTCAAAGTAGGCTGATAAAGATGGAAGAGAAAGACTAGTATATGGAGTAGGAAATTTTTCTCACTGCGGGATATGTAGCATTTTGACATTAACTGACTGATGATGTTTCTGGATTTTTTTTAATGGAGTTTGATATTGTTATAGGATTCACCAATGCGAATACCTGCCGAGAGTTTTCTCGCCCTAAGGGCATTTGGTGCTCCACCGATTGTAATTGCACTTGCCGCGCAAGGCACCTTTCGTGGCTTTAAAGACAGAAAGACACCTCTGTATGCTGTTGGTATGTATTGTTCTGCATCTTTCTTAACTTAACTGTATGGTCTTCCAACTGAGAACGTGTTTCTGAACTCAACTGTATTGTTTTCCAACTGAGAAAATGACAATGTCTGCTCTTTTATCTCAGTTGCTGGCAACTTACTTAATGCTATATTGGATGCAATATTGATATTTATTTTCGATTTTGGAATCCGCGGTGCTGCTGTTGCTACGGTGATTTCTGAATACGTCAACGATGTGGTAAACTTAATTTACTGGTGGATTTTGATCTTGATGTTCCTATCATAAAATTCTGTCAAGTTTTCTTTCTAACACAACTCTTCATGTCTATTTTTCGCAAGGTACCTGATCGCTGTTATTCTTTTGTGGAAATTGAATAGTGAAGTATTACTTGTCCCTGCCCATATTGATGGGAGAAGAATCATCGGTTACCTTAAATCTGGTAGGTTCTTTGTGAACTTGTTTATGAAATATAGATGATACAGATATTTGAGTTTTTTCTAAACGACCTTTGTATTTGTCAGGGGTCCTTCTTATTGGCAGAAGCTTAGCAGTTGTTGTAACCACGACACTAGCCACATCCGTGGCAGCCCAGGAGGGTCCTATCCCCATGGCTGGCCATCAGATTTGCATTCAAGTTTGGTTGGCAGTATCTTTGCTTACCGATGCTTTAGCACTGGCTGGTCAGGTGTGACATTTGACTTCACAAGTTTCATATGACGTGAACAATTTACGCAGAAGAATTGAATGAAATAAATTGTGTGAACGAACTAGATCTAGTTTAATCATTACAATGATGTTTCTTCAGACACTTCTCGCCAGTGGTTACTCCCAACAAGATTATGAACAAGCACGCCTAGTAATTTATAGAGTTCTACAAGTTCATATTTTTCTTTTCAACTGTTTCATTCTCATCGTTAATTGATATCCTTTTTTTCCTCTGAATCTACATTCACTGTTCTTTGAATTTCAAACAGATTGGTTTAGTGACGGGAATTGGTTTGGGAATTATGTTATTCATCGGTTTTAAAGCGTTTTCTAGCTTATTCAGCACAGACCCTCAAGTCCTGGCAATTGCATGGTCTGGTTTATTGGTAGGAAACTACATATCTCAACAGTTTGCTTGTTGGAAGCCTATGGACTATTACTTGCTTCATGTGTGCATTAGTTGCACTGCTACACATACCTGATATGGATATTGTTTGCCAGTTTGTTGCTGGATCTCAGCCAATAAATGCTCTAGCTTTTGTTATTGATGGACTGTACTACGGAGTATCAGACTTTGGATTTGCTGCCTATTCGATGGTATTCCCGGATCCTATCGTGAACAACAAATGGTTATATCATATGGTCTCCTCTCACCTCTCTTTTTGTTTGGGTAGGTGTTAGTAGGACTGATTTCTTCCGCGGTCATACTTGTTACCTCTCCATCTTTTGGCCTTGCTGGAGTCTGGACCGGGCTGTTTCTCTTCATGGCATTGCGCGTAGTAGCTGGGATTTGGAGGTAAACTAATTTCTGTGCGAGCTCCTGTCATCGCGCAACTTGAACTTCTTCCTGACAAATACTATTGCACTCCAGGTTGGGCACAAGAACTGGACCATCAAATTGGTCTGGGATGAGAGGAAAAAGGAAAGTTAACGTGACGAATGTTGAATCTCCTGGGACAGGAGGTAAAAATACTCATCAGGGGCTATCGAACACAAGTAACTGTCTGAAGTCTGATGCTACTGGTGTAACCTGTTTTCGAACACAGGTTATCCTAAGGTTGTCAAGGGCCTGCCGGATTATTAAGACGACCTGGATCAACAAGGAGTGAATTCGACTGGTTTCCGACTAGCTAAATTTAGTATGTAGGGATGCAGATGATGATCGGCATTCCAAACCGAAAATTTCTTCCCGTCCATACTTCACCAGGTTCTTGTATAACATAAAACGCCTACAAATATATACAAAACGACATCAAAGATTCTGAAATCGAAAGGGAAGTTCTTACACCATGAAAGATATAGATTTATTTATATTTTCGGGTTAAAACTGTTAAGAACCTGCTCAACCTGGACAGTGTAGCTATGGAGATATGGAATGGGAGAGGTAGAAGACGGGCAAGAAGCTCGTGTGAATTTTTAATGAATAAACTCAAATAACCGTTCGAGGAGCAATGAGGCCATTGCTCCATTTAAGTGGCCATTGCTCCATTTAAGTAGCTTTTCCACTCAGAAATGCGGACTCAGCATTCCATTACATAAGCAACTCACTAAAGGACAAACCCTTTTATTTAATAAACTGAAATTACAAACAAAAGGAATAAAATGCACTTCTTAACATCACTCCCTCCTTAAAATCAACCTTGTCCACAAGGTTTCAGAGCTGAAATGTTGGGAACCCAGCATGAAAATCATCGTAATCCTCCCAAGTAGCTGTGCTCTCTTCTTGTCCAACCCAATGTACTAGCAACTGAACACCTGTCTTGTCGTCCTTCTTGCAAATTCTCCTGGCAATTATTGCCGAAGGAGCATCTGATGGATGAGAATCCTGCATCTGAGCTTCATCTGTCAGTGTTGGCAGTGCTGTTACAGGTAGATCCAAATTTCTCATGTGCCTCTTGAGGCAGCTGACATGAAAAACAGGATGTATTTTTGATCCCTCAGGTAATTTGAGCTTGTAAGCAACAGGTCCTACTCTCTCCAATACCTCATAAGGACCGTAGTATCAAGGGTGTAGCTTGTGATAAGCATGTGAATCCAATGGTTGCAACTGATATGGCAGCAACTTAAGATAGACTAAGTCACCAACAGAAAACTCTCTCTCAGTCATTTTCTTGTTTGCCTGAACTGCCATTCGATTCTAAGCCATTACTAAGTTAGACCTTGAGTATGGTAAGCAACTTATCCCTCTCAATCAACTCTTGTTCCACAAAGTCCATTTTTGCAGTACTTAAGTCATAAGAAGTAACATGAGGATGAGGGTACCCATATACCAATTCAAATGGAGTAAATTTTGAAGAAGTATGATAGGAAGTATTATAGTTCCACTCTGCCCATGGTAACCATTTGACTTAATTCTTAGGTTTGTTTCCCACAAAGCACCTCAGATATGTTTCAACACACCTGTTGACCACCTCAGTTTGTCCATCACTCTGAGAATGGCACCCCGAGCTCATGCAAAGTTGTGATCCTTGCAACTTAAAGAACTCCTTCCAAAAAGTGCTCAGGAACAACAGATCTCTTTCACTCACAATTGTAGATGGCATTCCATGCAGCTTGAATATGTTATCAACAAACAACTGAGCAACAGTTATGGTAGTATAGGGATGAGCTAAAGCTAAGAAGTGAGCATACTTAGTAAGCCTATTTACTAACACAAAAATGACAGTTTTGCCTTTGCAAGATGGTAATCCCACAACGAAATCCATGCTTATATTAGTCCAAATTTTTTGAGGAATTGGCAAAGGTTGAATTAAACCAGGAGGAGGTAGAGTTTCATACTTGTTTTGTTGGCAAATATTACACTCTGAGATATAGGTCTTTATGTCTCCCTTCATACCTGGCCAATAAAAACCCTTTTTTAGCCTTGATAGGTCTTCAATACACCTTGGTGCCCTGCGGCAGGTGTTGAATGGTGCTCAGCCAAAAGCTTAAGCTTCCAAGTGGAATTGGGGCTAATTACTATCCTGGACTTGTACTTGAGCAAGCCATTATCAACATGATAATGGGCTAACTTAGAACCACTGGCTACTCCACTCCCAAAGTTTGTAACCTCTGCCCTTTTTTGCTTAATCTAAGCATCTTCTTCATTGTATCTTCTTAATTCATCCAACCACCCAAAATAGGGGTAAGAGATAGCGTGACAATTCATGGATGAATGATTTACCCCATTAGAACACTGAGTGTCATGATTTGTGACTTGTCTTCTAGAGAGGGCATCAGCGACTATGTTATCAGCACCCTTCTTAAAATGAATTTCATAATTGAATCCCATCAATTTGGAAACCCACTTCTGTTGGAATGTTGTATGAGCCCTTTGTTGAGAAAATATTTCAAGCTGCAGTGATCAGTCTTGATTATAAAATGCCTACCCTGAAGATAGGATTGCCATTTCTTGACAGCATGTACAATTGCAATGAGTTCTCTCTCATAGGTGGAGAGAGATTGATTCTTAGGTCCCAAGGCTCGACTAGTAAATGCAATTGGTCTCCCTTGTTGCTGTATAACCGCACCAATGCCATTATCAGAGGCATCACATTCCAACTCAAATGGCAGTTTAAAATTAGGCAAAGCAAGGACCTGTGGAGAGGTCATAGTATCTTTGAGCTTCTGGAAAGCTACTTCAGCTGCTGTGGTCTACAAGAACCCATCATTCTTAGTCATATGGTAAAGTAGTTGGCAGATTTTGCCAAAACCAGGCACAAATTTCCTGTAATAACCTGTGAGACCAAGGAAACCTCGCAATTCTTTCACTGCAGTAGGCTTAGGCCATTCCATTATAGCTTGAATCTTGGAGGGATCAGCCTCTACACCTTTGCTTGATATGACATGGCCCAAATATTCCACTCAACTTTGACCAAAAGAACATTTCTGCTTTTTAACATAAAGTTGGTGCTGTTGCAACACCTTAAATGTCATTTTAAGATGCAACATATGGTCTTCCCAAGTCTTACTGTAGACTAATATGTCATCGAAGAACATAAGGATGAAATTCCTCAAATGGGGTCTGAATATATCATTCATAAGGCTTTGGAATGTTGTAGGTGCATTAGTGAGTCCAAAAGGCATCACTAAGAACTCATAGTGACCTTCGTGGGTTCTGAAAGCAGTTTTTTCAATGTCTTGAGGATGCATCAAAAGTTGATGATAACCGGACCTTAAATCAAGCTTAGTGAAAAACCTAGCACCATGTAGTTCATCCAAGAGATCATCAATCAGAGGAATATAGTACTTATCCTTGATTGTTATGGCATTAAGCTCCCTGTAGTCCATACACATTCTCCAAGTTCCTTTTTTTTTTCTTCACAAGGAGAACTGGACAAGAGAAGGGATTGTGGCTTGGTCTCATAAAACCTACATTAAGTAGTTCTTGAACTGCCTTCTTAATTTCAATCTTTTGTAAAGAACCATAATGGTAAGGTCTTATATTAGGGGGCTTAGATCCAAGAAGTAGTGGGATGATGATTGTGAACCCTACTAGGTGGTAGCTCAATAGATCAGACAAAAATGGTTTCAAACTGCCCCAACACTTCTTGTAGTTGCTTAAGTTGCAAGGGTTTTAAATCACAAGCTTCAACCATTCTATCTTCAATGGAATAAAGGAACAAACCCAAATTAGAGTTGAAAATCTCTTTGTCAAGTTGTTGAAGAGTCACCTCTTGAATCAGTGGAGCAGTTGTATCACTATGACTGAGTTTATACTGAGAACCATTCTTGGTAAATTCCATAGTTAGTAACTGGAAATCCCAGAGAACCGAGCTAGCTGACGAAAGCCATTGGACCCCTAATATGTCACACCCTCCTATTAGCAAGGAGTATAGATCCACACCACATTCATAACCCCCAATTTATAAAGCAGCATTAGTACAGCAACCTGAACTACTAACCTTACCCCCATCCGCAATCATCACTTCAAATGGTTTAGTGGGTTGAGGTGTGCCAAGCAAATTTCTTAAGGAGTCTAGAGTCCACGAAGTTATGGGTGCTTCCAAAATCCAAGAGAACTGTGACTTGTTGACCATTCATTGAACCTATTACCTTCATTGTTTTCACAGTGGTCTTAGCAAGTGTGCCATAAAACGCACATTCACTAAGTTCCATTTGTAATAATTCAGGTGGAGGTTCTTCTAGTAGTTGACTAGTGATCTCCTCTTCAGGGTATGCTAGATCAAGCATGAGGAGTTGCTTAGTAGCACATTTATGTCATGTGCGCCACTTCTCATCACAAAACCACCACACACCTTTCTCCCTTTTTCTCTGAATTTCCTCAGGAGATAACCGCTTCACAGTGAAATTAGAAGGTTTAACACTAGGAGTGGTGTGTGGTGTAGTAGGGGTGTGTAACACTCGAGATTGTGTAAAAGGCTTAGTATAGCCACTCTTCAAATCACACAACTGAGCATCAATTTGTAAGGCAATTGAAATGGCATCGTGCACATCAGAAGGGCGCAAAAACTTAACATCATATTTAAGTTCACGTTTCAATCCACCCAAGAAACAACTCTTTAACAAGATAGGCCCTAAATCATGGGTTCTATTTGCCAAACGCCTAAATTCAGTGATGTAATCTTTGAGAGTACCTGATTGTTTCAATTTGAAGAGTGCATTTTGAGAGTACCTGATTGTAAATTCTCTGCAAAATGTGTGTGTGAAATCCCCCCACAGATGAGTGCTTTGCAAACAATCTTGCCATTAAAACCACTAGTGTCACGCCCCAATCCCGACATACGTCCAGAATTGACACGTGACGTCACCAAAAATCCGTATCTATCATACCCCACCTCCGGGATATGGGCAAGCACAACTCAATAATCGAATCGCATAGTTACTTTTTGTATGCATTATGGCTGCATCTAACCTCCCTGTTAGACTGCCTACGTACCCTAGACAGGGATTAAGCCATTCGTAGTTCGTCAATCACACAAACAAGTGGTGGTCCAAATTGATCACCACACCAAACAATTGAATCTTTGGAAACCGAGCTAGACATAGGTTCACATGGTCACTAGAAGATATTTGAAACCTAGATAACACTCGTGAACAATCCCACGCACCGCCACACGCGGTGAAAGTCAAGATGGAGGGTTTAGAAACCCCGAATTTTCAACATTAACTAGATGAGCTCAAATTTACATGGTAGCTAGAGCTCAACAAGGGAAACACTTTTCACAACTAGGCCGACGATAAATTCTAACCGGAAGCCGTCCAATTTCACCGGAGAAAACCGGATTTCTAGGGTTCTAAACACCCAACTCTAAAATGAATACGAAAGCACAAACTAAGCATACCCACTTGAAGATTATGAAGAGTAGATGAAGTTTCATACCTCACTCGAAGGAAATCGTTGCCGGAATTGCCGAAAAAATGATAAAACCGCCGGAAAAGTCGTGGGCTTTGCGACCTCAAACTGCAAAGATAGAAAAGAAATGGGGAAATCTAACATCACAGAGATGTAGGGTTTGTCAAGAGCTTTCCATGGACACCGAGATCACCCAAAACGGAGCTCGGATGAAGAAGATACAAGTAGGTCAAGTTTGGTGGGTTTATGGGTCCAACAGCTCCCCTTTCCATTTTCTGAAACCTCTCCCCCCTTTTCTGGAGGTTTCACTCCAATTATAGCATTTTGGTAAAATTACCAAAATGCCACCAACTTCAAACGACTCTAACTTCTCCGTTCGGACTCGGAAATAAGATCTGTTTACACCTACACGCCCATGAAATCGAACTCTACCTAACTAATTCAAGAGTTGACCAAAAAGGTCGAGAAAATTTGAAATGACTAAAGTACCCCTCACTTCGTTTTTCTTAAATTTGGAGAAATAAAGAACTAGTTCTAATCAAATCTTCGAAATACGTCAAGAATAAAATAAAATAATAATTTTGGGGATGGGATATCACATCCTCCCCACCTTATAAAAATTTCGCCCCCGAAATTTCCATAAGCCAAAGTACAAGGAACTACCACACCACTATTCGAACTCGTATTGACAACCACGTCATCAACATCGGATAAGGATCTCGACTTTCTCTTCGACACCAAGAATTTAACCAACTTCACTTTCGATACTTTAAGAATTCAAAAATACGAATCCAAGAAGTATCCCCCCACTAATGCTTTTGTCAATCAAATCCAACACGGGGATTTCAAGACAACCACTTCACCACGAAACTAAACTTCTACCTCAACGACTAACTCACTAAGGAAACTTTAGCCACCAGATTTCAAAGAACATAACGTTCTCGGACAGAACACTTGGAATAAGAAGACAACGAAACTGATACGAATTGAATCACCACAACCAATGTAAATGATTCGAACGAACGGTCAACATAGCTACCCAATTCATATCCCATAGGCTAGATGTACTAGTCTCTCCCTCCAAGGTTCACAAATTTAAGGAAACTCTAAATTTGACACCACTAATACTACAGGGCAAGCATCAGCGTCCACTGAAAATTCAAAGGTCCGGGGACCAATGCTCTGATACCATAAAAGTTGTCACGCCCCAATCTCGACATACGTCCAGAATTGACACGTGACGTCACCAAAAATCCGTTTCTATCATACCCCACCTCCGGGATATGGGCAAGCACAACTCAATAATCGAATCGCATAGTTATTTTTTGTATGCATTATGGCTGCATCTAACCTCCCTGTTAGACTGCCTACGTACCCTAGACAGGGATCAAGCCATTCGTAGTTCGTCAATCACACAAACAAGTGACGGTCCAAATTGATCACCACACCAAACAATTGAATCTTTGGAAACCGAGCTAGACATAGGTTCACATGGTCACTAGAAGGTATTTGAAACCTAGACAACACTCGTGAACGATCCCACGCACCGCCACACGCGGTGGAAGTCAAGATGGAGGGTTTAGAGACCTCGAATTTTCAACATTAACTAGATGAGCTCAAATTTACGTGGTAGCTAGAGCTCAATAAGGGAAACACTTTTCACAACTAGGCCGACGATAAATTCTAACCGGAAACCGTCCAATTTCACCGGAGAAAACCGGATTTCTAGGGTTCTAAACACCCAACTCTAAAATGAATACGAAAGCACAAACTAAGCATACCCACTTGAAGATTATGAAGAGTAGATGAAGTTTCATGCCTCACTCGAAGGAAATCGTCGCCGGAATCGCCAGCAAAATGATAAAATCGCCAGAAAAAGTCGTGGGCTTTGCGACCTCGAACTGCAAAGATGGAAAAGAAATGGGGAAATCTAACATCACAGAGATGTAGGGCTCGTCAAGAGCTTTCCATGGACACCAAGATCACCCAAAACGGAGCTCGGATGAAGAAGATACAAGCATGTCAAGTTTGGTGGGTTTATGGGTCCAATTCTCCCTAAAACGGGTTAGGCAGTTCCCCTTTCCATTTTCTGAAACCTCCCCCCTTTTCTGGAGTTTTCACTCCAATTATAGCATTTTGGTAAAATTACCATAATGCTACCAACTTCAAACGTCTCTAACTTCTTCATTCGGACTCGGAAATAAGATCTGTTTACGCCTACGCGCTCATCGAACTCTACCTAATCAATTCAATAGTTGACCGAAAAGATCGAGAAAATTAGAAATGACTAAAGTACCCCTTCACTTCGTTTTTCTTAAATTTGAAGAAATAAAGAATTAGTTCCAATTAAATCTTTAAAATACGTCAAGAATAAAATAAAATAATAATTTTAGGACGGATATCACAACCGGATTGCCTCTCCTTCCAAGTGAAACGAGACTGTTAAGACCTTCTGAAGCTCAGGAATGGAATAGTAGGTGAAAAACTGTTCTGATTTATAAATCCAAGCAAGTGGATCTTCACCAGGAGTGAATCGGGGAAAATCGATGCGAGGCTGCCAGTTATGGCGAGGAGGGTAGAGTCCACCTTCAGGAATTACACGTTGAGGCCGATGAGGATGAAGGTCGCCGGAATCAGGAAGATCAGCGATGAGTGGTTGTGGAGGTGGGTCGGCATCGGAAGTGGAACCTCCGCTCCCACGAGCACACGCTTGCTCCCGACGGAATTGTTCGAAGAACATCACCATTTTTGAATCGATGGAGTCAGAGAGTGCAACAACAGAAGGTTCCAAAGCAGCAACTCGAGCGTCCATTTGAGATAATCGAGTGTTTGGATTGTAGCGTGGCATACAAAAAGGGATCCAGGATCGAAATTGGGGGATACCAATGTTTAAGAACCTGCAAAACCTGGACAGTGTAGCTATGGAGATATGGAATGGGAGAGGTAGAAGACGAGCAAGAAGCTCGTGTGAATTTTTAATTAATAAAACTCAAATAACCGTTCGAGGAGCAATGAGGCCATTGCTCCATTTTAGTAGCTTTTCCACTCAGAAATGCCAACTCAGCATTCCGTTACATAACCAACTCACTAAAGGACAAACCCCTTTATTTAATAAACTGAAATTACAAACAAAAGAATAAAATGCATCTCTTAACATAAAACATACAGCTAATCTTCCTATTTCCATTCAAGAAAATTTCAATAGAATTCCTAATCAAATAAAAAACACAACTAAGAGTAAGGGAACCATGAATAATGCAGCCCCTGCTCTTCCATTACACCGGAATGATAACTTTGTCTGACTAAATCTGAACCGAAATCCACGTCTAAATATCCGTCCTGCGTATGATTCGAGCTTCCAGGTATGTCGACTTCTGGTTGTGTCTGAAATTGCATAGGGCGACAATGCCTCCTCTCCCATTGTTGTTCTTGAGCAGCATCAATGCCATAGGTTTTTTCTGCAGACCAGTTATGCATGTACTCGAGTCTATCGTCGAGCTCCCTCTGCATTCCGATGTCATTCGATGCATTGATGCCATATCCTGGACTGTATGACACGTCTAAATCATCTAAGCAAGCATAAGTATGTATGAAGCCATCGCGATTATGGCCATTTAATTTTGTAGTTTCTGCTAAACCTCCCAGCAATTGTTGACCAGTTATCGATCCCTTCATTCCAGCATCATCAGATGGAACATTTTTCTGCTCGTTATGCATATTGTTGTACTTATCATCTAAGCCATTGTGGCTTCCAGATTCCAGAATCACCGGGAACTCTTTCACCACTGCTTCCCTCATTGCTGGTGTCTCAAATTTGACACCATTTGAAGGGTTGCAACCGTTTCTTTGATTGCATTCCCCGTCTCCAAGCTCAGTTAAGTGAGCATAATTGGACCTCAAAAGTATCTCCAAAGAATCCACATCGTTACGAGGCTTCCCATCAAATACACTATCAAAATTTACAGCTGGGAGCTCATTTCGCAAGTAATCGGCCCTATGATCGAAGCTTCCATAGCTCCCCGTCTGAAAAACAACACCGTTCTTAACAAGCTCGCGTTCGGTTTCGTATTCCCGTTTCACAGCTTTTGGTTCTCTTAAGGTAGCATTGGAAAGCTGTAATTCCTCAGTCACCAATCCCTCAGCACAAATCATTTCCTGCTTCGGCTCTGTGGGCAGACAGTCCTCAAAGAAACCCGATCTTTCCTCTGCCTGATCCGCACTATTATACGTTGACGATGACTCGTGTGATGATGTTTTAGTCATTGTAGGTGACACAAAACTAGAGCAGTAGTCCTTCAAATCCATAGTGTTTTTTGCGAAGTTGAGCCGGGCCAAAGCGCCATACATTGACCTAGCAGCTTTATCATAAGCAAGTGCAGCTTCCCAGGCTGTAGGGAAAGTCCCAAGCCAAAGACGGTTATTCTTCTTCTTCGGTACAGCGCCGCCCGTAGCGTGAATCGGTTCTCGGATTTCTGCCACCCATTTTCCCCAAGTCCTCTGCCTAACACCCCTGTAGACACAACTGGAGTTCTCGGGCCCTCCTTTCCCTCTCATACACCCTTTTGTGGAGCCCTTCGCCGGAACCCTCCGAGTCTTCGTCCCTCCATCTTTTTCAAAATCAAGCCTCTCATTGTAGTTCTTCCACCGAGCCAGAGTGTCCTCTATCGAATCGCACCCATAGCGCCTCTTCCGCAATTTCCTATCCCTGAAAAGTTGAACCAAATCCAAAGTTAGTTTCAGCTTTTAAACAATCAACACGAACAAATTAACTTCCATGCCCCTCTCGTTCGGGTTTGGGATATTGCTGCTGTAGAAAACACTTATGCTTATAAGCGTTTTGCTAAAAGTGCTTTCATTACAAACTCTTTGCAAGTTTTATTATAAAAATCCAAGTGCTTCGGTTAACTTAAGAACATTTGCTAAAAGTTCTTTCGTTAGAATGACATTGAAATTTTTATTAAACTTGAAGTGCTTCCTAGATAAGCACCTTACTAGCACTTCTCCCGAAAACAGAAGCAATTTCAGAAGCAGTCCCATCCCAAACTTGAAAAACCTCCAAACTTGGATTTAGGCAATCAATCACGCAGAAAACCCCAGATGAAAAATCACAACAAAAACTCAAGAACTCACCCGTCGGAAGCCTCGGACGCCATGCGAGTTCAGAAATCTGCTTGCTTTCTTCTTCCTTTTTATCTGGGTCCGTTTCTGAACTCCCTTCAGGGCGTCCAATATGCAGAACAAAAACAAAGACCTTTGCGTTCTAATTAGCTGAAAATCTGAAAGGGGTTTATCTAGGGTTTAAGTGTAAACAGGCTTTTGCCCCTTGAGCAAGGTTTCGAGGCGCTTTCGAGGAGCCGGGGTTTTCTCTGTTTTCGGCTGTGGTGGGGGCAGATAACAACAAAGCAATGGCGTCCGTGTCTGACTTGGGCACGATGGCACTGCGAGATACTCCCGAAAAGGATTAATGACATGGACAGCTCATGCGATGATTAGTGGCCCCTGTTTCGCCACGTAAGAGCCGTCCTCTGTTTTGTCATTTCGGTTTCTTGCCCAGGAAGGCTTTTGCATTTAAAATTAAACAGACGCTTAATTTTGGTTTGAATGTTTCTTCAAGTTGAGAAACAATTTGGGTCATGTTCCAAAATTACAAATAAAAGCAAGCCCTTCGGACAAGTAAAGATATAAAAATTCCAAAATCGAGCTGAACGCGCGTCAACAAGAAGAGTCTACCTTTGGAGGGGTAAGTAACGCTACAAGTAAGCTACAAAAGTTCCAAAACCAAGCTGAGACAAACTACCATAAGAAGACTAACCAACACTAAATTTGATTCACAGTAAATATAAGGGAATGAAATATTTTGAAATCATGTAGCCAATTGTATAAAATTCATAATACCATCGGTTGTAACTTAACCACCGCTCTTTCTATTAACCGTCCAGATCAATCTAGTGGTTCTTTGTCCAAATGCGTTGTTGAATGTGTACATAAGTATGTGTGTCAGAGAAGACCTCTTTTAAGCCATAAAGCCTCGAGGATTAGAGTAAACTTGCAAGTGCACAAGTTTATAGGTACATTTAACATGCATTTCCGTATTTCAATCTTTTAAGTCTTCATACCATTCCAATTTCAATTGAGGTAATAGTTTAGGGGGTCAAACTGCATTTTACCTTAAAATAAATGGTTAAATGGATACCCGTTTGTAACTGTGAGTAATACTCATAACCACCTATTTAAATTTCAATGGTAAACGATTATACCCATAACCGTTTATTTTTTTATGAGTTTTAAATGGACGAATAATTGTGGTTCCCCATACCCATGAATATTTTGCCCATCCCTATGAACAACATAGTCATAGTATAATGTTTGGCAAGTCCAAGTATCATTCCCACGAAAATTCTAATTCAATCTCCAATTTGATAAACTAAACTAAACTAAACTTAATTATTTTAAAAACACAAAACTCCAAAAATATGAAACGCAAACAATAAACTAGACCTCGACTTAACAATTCAATGAAACTTGTGAAGAATTTGTTGTGATGATTTTATAAGGAAATAAAAACATAATAGAAAATTAAAACTGAGATTAAAGAGAAGAAAACATAGGGTTTTAAGGCAAGGGATGAAGGTCTAGGGATTTGTAATTAACCACAAACAAACGGGTTTAGGTTTCAATGCATTTAATAGTAATTTCATCTCTTAGATAACAATTTTCGTATTTAAGTTCGGTTAAGGCACTATAGACCATAATTCTCGTTAAGTGTCATATATCCTAACATAGAGTCTATCCGATCATATCATCAATTTAACATGAAAAACTCATTACATAGAAGAGAATGAGAGAATCATGCAAACTGTAAATTTTGTTACCGCAACTATGTAATTCACAAGAAGTTAATTCGTATTATATTGTAGTAATGCCTCAAATTTGTCTTAAAATTATTATATGCAAAGCCCTAAGGTGATCATTCAAGTACCTTAAACATAAGGCATTCAATTCTCGTAGTGAATAAGAATTCATCCAATAAAATTAAATATCCATCAAATTGTCATTGGAAACCATAACCATTGATGCTAGGGTATCATTATTACCCTAGAAAAGAATTTTTTGAACAAGTGAGGTTATTTACATTAAGGGGAGGGGTTGTGTTTAGCCTCACATTAAGCTAGCAATAATGTAGTTCAAATTCGCATTTGACGAGAATCAAACCTAAGATCTCTTACTTACAAGTGAAGATAAACCACTAAACCGTAATATTAATTAGCTTACAGAAAAGAATTTAGCTCCTCTTATTTAGTTGCCATAGATTCAAATTCTCGAGCTTGGATAATTGATGGGTTGTAGGCTTGTAGCTCCATTTCCTTAGGTCCATGGCCTGACTCGGTGGCGGGCCTGTGGCTTATCTTCATGGGTCATGGCTCATATTGGGCTTTTGAGATCATGTCCAAGCCCGAGTCTGTACAATGCAAAATTAATGAACTGGGCAGATAAAATCCTGATTAGCCACGTGGCTATGGAGCTAATTCTGTATGCGCACACATCACATATTTACATTTCAGCCCAACCAAGTTTAAAATCTTAGCTTCAACCTCCAATCTCAGCCGTTAATAATCTCCCTCGCAGCACATACCGTCCATCTGTCAGACTCTCAAAGCTTGTAGCACAAAGCTTCCCTGCATCCAACGTCATTTAATCACGTACACAGCACACGCATTCGACGTCCCTCCTGCAAAAGCCGCCCTTTGTTCTCGCGCGCTTAAAATCCGTTAATATTTGCAGAGAGCCAAACACCCACACACAGTCACACACTCACTCTCCGCCATTACCATTTACCTCCTTCCTTCTCAGCTCCCTCTCTCTCTCTCGCTCTCTCTCTCTCTCTCTCTCTCTACTTTCTCTCTCCTCTCTCTCTCTCTTCGACTCCATCCCTCTCTCTTTAGCCGTCGTACTCTCACCGTCGACAGAATGTTCTACTCGCACCAGCTTCTAGCTAGGAAAGCTCCTCTGGGTCAAATCTGGTAAAACCTCACTCAGATTCTCCGATTTCTCTCACTTTTTTTACACGATTTTTTGTTGAATCTATTTGTCACATGTATTGCTCTGTTTTTTTTTCTTTTTTTCCGTATACTTCACTGTTGCATTTTCATCGTAATTTCATGCAGTTTCGCCTGGAAACTGACGTTTTCGCTGGATTTTCGAGTTTTATTGTCTATTTTGTTATTATTTTTCTTTGGAATTATGATTTTTCATGCCATTTTTCTCTTGGAAACTCGAATTTTAAACGATTTTTTCTTTGCAAATGGTGAACTCGCGAAGGAGGGCTGCTACAATGCACGCCAAAATCAACCGCAGGAAGCTCGATAAGCTCGATCTCATCAAGATCTGGTAATTCCTTACTTCTTTCTCTTCCTTTTTACTTCTTCAAATTTTCAGCGTTTCGCCGATAATTTCCACTGGTTTTTTGTGCAGCTAAATCGATGGAACATGATTTTTTGCATTTTTTTTAATTTTGCAGCGAAGAGATTTTGAACCCTTCGGTTCCCATGGCTCTTCGTCTCTCCGGGATTCTCATGGGTAACCAAACTCTCCCTCCCTCCCTCTCTCTCTCTCTCTCTCTCTCTCCCCCCCCTCTGTTACCATTTCGCTTCGTTTGCGTTTCCAGGTGGAGTCGTCATCGTCTACGAACGAAAAGTGAAGCTCCTATACGGTGACGTTCCTATCCTTCATTCTTTTTTCGCTTCGAATTTCGGAGAATTTTGATTTCAAAATTTTCGAACAAATGTTTTCTGACTTATTCTGTTTCTGTGTGTTGCTCTTGTTTCCGTACAGAGGATGCGACTCGTCTACTGGTACTATTTTTCTTCGAATTTCTTAATTGTTTTAATTTCCGATTTTTCTCTGTTTGTTTAATTGATTTTTATTTTATTTTTCATATCCGAGTGTGCTGTTGTAGGTCGAATTAAACGAAGCATGGAAGACGAAACCTGTTGGGGACCCCACCGTCCTCCCCAAAGGAAGATCTCAGGCCAGGTGGGTCCCTCCCCGCTGCTTCTTCTTCTTCTCCAAGTTACCATAAGTTTCAGAACCGGCGTATTTTAGAAACAGCGGCGTAGTTTAGAGTGACATTTGTAGTGGAGGGGCAGGATTGTCATTTGACATGTGGGTTTTTGTCGTCTCCTTTTTTTTCTGCAGAAAGGAAGCTATTACGCTGCCTGAGAATGAAGACACAGAAATTGAAGGAATGCTTAATTTTTCCCACGGCCGCAGCGCCTCCATGCAGTTTCAGCAAACCTCCTATTTTGCTATGGTAAAATGTCGAACCTCTCCGGGTTTTTGTACAACATTTACCTACATTTCAGACTCTCATGGATGGTCCATTGAGGGTATTTTTGTCAATCAGGGGAAACTGTCTATGTGCCTGTCACTTGATAGTGTCTGAAAGGTGTTTGAAGAATTACCTGAATAGGGTTTGTGAGTAGAAGATTTAAATGATGGGTCAAGTTTATGTGTCCTGATTATTGAACTATTTTTATTGCTTGTGTTTTATGAATTTACGAAACTTAAAAATATTTTCTCTAAAAGCGCTCAATCATTTAAAAGTGTTTCCCAAATGAGCCATAGTTTCCGTTTGAGGAAAGCTATACTACCAGTTATGACACTAATTTAAACTTTTTGTTTCTATGGCGATGTGCCAAGGCTCGTGTTACATTAGAAAGGACGAATTGTGTTCTTTTCCACTGTTGTATTATGCCTTATAGTTTTTGTGTATGATAGGAAGATGCCTATGTAGGAACTGCATACAAAACATTCTGAATTGATTGAACCCGCTGCATTGCCTCGTTGAGCTATTGTCTCTCTTTGCAGCGGCTTGATAGTGTCGATGAACAATATGTTAACAACAACGCAGCAGGGGAGGAAGATCCAGCTCCGCAACTCTACCAAGGTTGTATCATTCTTCTAATCTGATTTCTTCGTAATTTAGGTTTGAGTCTTTTGTCCACATGTCCAAAGCTTGCTTATCTGCTAACACAAGTTACTCTCATTCAGCTGATGTCGAGAATATCACCTTACCTGAACGCTTTGATCCATTTCAAGCTGATCATTTTATGTACAATCGCTTGGAGAGGTGAGACGTGTTTCAATCCTCCTACATGAAAACCCCATGTTTTTAAAGTTGTAATCATGGTCTTACGTGTTTTCTATGTGGATGGAAGATTTGAGATCGAAGGGGATGAAGAGACACAGGTTAACTTCACGTCAGGAGAGCACACACACATTCACATACCCCCTTCACCTCCTCGCGATGAATATCAGGAAGGTCAGATCATCCCTTTACCTATTAAATAATTTCTAAATTTCTAAATTTAGATGAATTTGGAAGTAGGATACAAGTCCACTTTAATTTACACAATTGCAAGCATGAAATTCTTCCTGATCTCAGGGCCTCCTGCAGCTGATACAATCCAAGATGATCAACATCCAGATCACCAGGCCAATCAGCCATATGAAAGCAAGGAATTTAGACAGGTAGCAAGTAAATATCATGTTTTCATATAACACATCTTCTAAAGTTGGAAAATTAACTGCAAACTAATCAATCTTGGATTGTAGATGAAGCTGGTTCAAGAGAGACAGGGGACTAGAAAAAGGAAAACAAGAAAGCAAGCATCTGGAATGGATTTTGAACAAACAATCATTCCTGGTCATGTATATCAATCTTGGCTCCAAGATCCTTCAGATCTATCACGAGATGCAAGAAAACGGAAGGTTTGTCCCTGATCTCTAAGGTGTATCCATCAGTTTAAGCCAAATCTATTTAAGGCAGGTGAGACTACATGCGTACATACTAACTTCAAGTCGAAGGGACTAGGATGGGTTACTTTTCGATTGTCATTAACGCAGCATAAATTTTATTTCAAAATTGTTGAAAAAACTGTTGGATTCTATGTTACCAAGTACAAACTATAACTGCCAATGTTTTATACTATGTATGTTTACAGCGCAAAGATGTAATGGCAACTATGAAGATAGCTAACCTCATGGACCTGCCACCTAAAGTACTAATGGAAGATTTATTTACAACTGGAAGTAAAAACGTATATTATCCACGTCCTCTCCTTGATATGTGGATGAAAAGTGTCCCAACTCCCCATGAGTCTCCTGCTGGTCAGTACTTGTTATTTCGTTTCGAGAACTTCCTCATGTATAATAATTGAAAAAGAAGAAATAGCACCTAATTATTGCTGTGTCTGCAGGACGAACCTCTTCACCCCTGCCCCCAGGACCATTGTCACCAATACCGCCTGAGAGACAAAACTTTGATGGTCCGATGGGATACGTAAGCCAATCCACCTTCTATTAGTTGTTCATTTCCAAAAAGACTGATTAAGCTCATGTCTGACAAGTTAAAATGTGTTAAAATGTGAAGCCTTTTCAAGATTTTCATAGTGGAGTTGGCTCCCAGTCTTCCATAGATAAGCAAAGGCCAAGTTCTGGTGTGACAAAAGGCAAGAATGACCCAGCAAGTGTATTCATGGATGGACTGACAGCTAACCTTAAGAACATTGGCTTAGCGGGAAATGATACTAATCCAATGGTCACGCCTGGAAATTCTGGTACAGTTAAATTTGTTTAATACATTTCATACCTTGGATCTTTGGTTAAAGCATTTCAAACATATTCAGTGATATTCTAATCAGTTCCTTGCTTCATTCAAATGTACAGATGACGTAAGATCCATCCCGAGCTCAGCATCAGGGCAGGCAATTCCTTCAGAAGGCAATTCAGGACGGTTAGTAAAATGTTTTTATCAACCAATATATTAAGATTTTCAAAGCTATAAAATGTTTCATGAATTCTTTCTTTGGACAATTATCATGAGATGTCACATGCAATTAGAGATTTGTTGCTTCTCCTAAATCCTGTGATGAAGTACTGGCTGTGGACAGATCCGGCAAGAAAAGGCCTCATTCAGCATCCGGGGGCAACATTAGACTTGAACCACTATTGGAAATGAGTCACCCCGATGTACATTTCGAGTTGTCGAGGTCACCTGAGCAAGGCCCGGCATTTGATCAAGGTATATTATACCTTACTACTCCTTCCTGTTGTTGCAGCAACCAAAGCCGTGGTGGTTAACTTCTTTCCTTTCAGTAGGATTTCAATCACCATTGTAACTCCTTTTTGCAGAACTCTTGGTGGAAACAGGACCAACTCAAACTCAAAAACCGATCATGGAACAACCGCTTGACAAAACAACCGATACTATCAGAAGGTAAGGTCGCCTATGAGATCTGCTGCATTTGCTTGGTGAACAAGTAACTTCCAGTTTCGGTTGCCTGATTGCGTTTTCCTCTTGTATTTAAATGATTGCAGGGTTCTGAAATCACATTTTGAGACTGAGGGAGCTCCTCGGGTCGAATCCCTGGACAACCTAACTGCAGGAAGGAACCGGAAAGAATCAGCTATGCTATTCTACAAAACTTGTGGTACTTACCTGTCCGTACGTTATGTGCTCCTTTTTAATTGCTATGATTTGTAACATTTAACATATTAACCTAGTTTGAAACTAAGACGGGATCATAATGTATAACTCTTCGCAGTTCTGGCTACCCGGGATGTCATAAGAGTCGAACAGAGGACCGCTTACGGGGAGATTCTCATATCGAGAGGGCCGAAAATGTGAACGAGGTGAGACCACACCTAGTGTCCTACACTTGTAGGTCGTTAATCCCCACCTACGTTATGACCTAATCAACATGGAAATAGTTATACAATTAGAATTAGATGAAGAGATTAGAGATTTGCTCATCCGCTTAACGTTTAGGCGCTTATCGACTTACCCTTTTTTCTGTAGTTATCAGCATTTTACTACTAGCAGTTAAAACAATCTTGTAACGGGGACGTTGCTGTTCCTCTCAAGAGCTCCTTTATAAATTAATAAATTGTTAGTTTTACTCTGTGTGTGTGTGTGTGTGTTTTTAGATGTTATCATTTTTTTTCAATATTTTTAATTCAATCTCAATATCCAAGAAAGGAAAATTGAATTTCAATTATTATTATTATTATTTTTTTCTGTCAAGAATATTTTCAACTTTACAATAAGGAAAAATGTACAGAAACGCTTAGATCAATTGCCCACACGTGAGTTTTGGAAGTGGAACTCATTGGGTTTCATAAAAGTTAAAATCTGTAATTTTAAGAGAAAATTTTTAGTGTGTCGAGAACATTATCTAGTATACAAAGTGTCATAATACAAGTGGTTGAATCTCAATATCAGTGTGTTAAGAATACTATCTAGTATACCAAGACAAACTTAATTACTCTTCATTTTTTTACCATGAACGATATTCACTGATTCCAAAAGAAAATCAAGAATACAAAAGTAGACATCAAAAGCTGAATTTTGCGGGACGACTTAAAATATCTATGCTTGTTGTCAAATGATTGATTTGCGGTGCTACTCAACCTCCAACTTCAAACACATTGTGACTCCACACAAAGGCAACATTTATACAACCATTAAAAAATGAGATTAATGAAGAGGTTTTAAATTTTCGTAGAGGGTGCATGGTGACCAAGAGCAAGTTAGGGTAGCCATATTGTGAAATCGTTACCTTGTCCATGGAGGCGGACCAGAAGAAGGCGGTGATGGTGGCGATGAGAGTGGCGGAGGAGGTGGAATTGGGAGAGTCGTCGGTAAGGGTAGGGGGGATGTGGCTGACGTGGCCGAAGATTAGGCCGTCAACGGAGCGTGAGGAGGTGGAGAAGCGTTGGATCGTGGCGGCTAGGGCCGGGCCGGATATTGCTACCTTGTCTATGGAATGGTCTTCCATTGCATGAGCAGATTAGTTGACAGAGACAGAGAGTCGCACGAAACAGGTTGGTTTGTAAAGTAATTTTTTCTTAATTAATTAATTTATTATTATTTATCCTACCAAAAAAAAATGTAAAATGGTTTTTTATATTTCTGGTTTATTTATTTGTATATATTTATATAATTTATATCCGATTGTCAGAGATCAGATAATAATCGTATTAAATACATATAAGTATACAAAAATATGTTTTAAAATGTGAAGTGTTTGTTTTCATTTAACGATGATATTTTGTGTAGTTTATGTGTGTCACAATTCTCTTCTCTATTAAATAACTTTTTCACTCGATTTGCATTATGGGATCAAGTTAGAATTTGAAATATATGGACTGATGGAGCGATGTTTCCATCACTTCAATGGAGACAAAATTGAGCGGTATCAGTGAATACTTGCTACGTAATAAGTCAAGTTTTTAGGGTTTTTTGTGGTGTGCGAATGTGTTGTCTTTTCTCATAGATTCACAAGAAATTAAGTTTGGTTGGAAGAGAGACAAATGGGAAAATGAGTGAAAATAGTTAAACACATAACCATGTTTTTTCTTATAATGATTATTCATTCTTCTGCTTTGTTAACAGAAACACAGCTTGAAACAAAAAGAATCAAACAATATAATTAAAACCTATATTTACATATACCAAAGAATATATCTATATCTCCTCCAAATCCTATCAACAAATTAACTGACAATTATAAAACCCACATTTATCCCAAGTAAAAGTAATTAACCCTTTTCTACTCAGTTGCTGCTGCCTGCTGCTGGTGGTACTTCTGCTCCTTCTTCTGCAGAACCACCAGTTGGCTGATCAGGCTTAATCTCCTCCAGCTGCTCCAGAACTTGCTGAGCTTCCGGCCGCAAAGCCGGCGATGGATCCACACAATGCAGAGCCAACTTCAATGTGTTAAGCAGCAGGTCACCAATGGTTGGCACATCCCTCATGATCTCCAAATCAAAAACTTCATTTATCCACTCCTCTTTCACAATCGAAGCCACCCACTGTGGCAAATCCATGCCGTTCATCGGTTCTCCAGGGGATTTTCCTGTCAGGAGCTCCAGTATGATCACCCCAAGGCTGTACACATCAGTCTTTGTTGTGGCCTTCTTGGCCTTTGAGAGCTCAGGTGCGTTGTAGCCGAGGGTTCCTGCAGTGGCAATCACATTGGTGTTGGCGGCTGCAGTCATGAGGCGTGAAAGGCCAAAGTCTGCAATGTGAGCATTTGTCTGCTCATCAAGCAGAATGTTGCCGGATGTGAGATTTCCATGTACAATGTTCTCCTCGTTGTGGAGGTGGCATAGTCCACGCGTGATGCCAATCACTATGTTCATCCTTGTTGGCCAATCAATGATGGTTTCCGGCCCTCGAGCTGCACAAGGAATATACATCACAAAAACAAGATGGTTAAGGGGTTAAAACCAATAGCGCTTCTGATATATGAATAATGTGAATTAGAAAAGTTGATGAGCATCGATGAATAAACTTACCATGAAGGAAGGATGCAAGGCTACCCTTAGGCATGTAATCGAAGACGAGAAGCTTCTCTCCCTTGGGTCCCAAGTAATAAGCCCTCAGAGCCAAGAGATTCGGGTGGCGAATCTTCCCAATTGCTGCAGCCTCCATTTCAAACTCCTTCTGACCTTTCGCTGTCTTTTCCCTCAATCTCTTCACTGCAACTTGGTTTCCTTCCTCTAATGTCGCCTTGTATGCAGTCCCATATGTGCTCTTCCCCATTATCTCAGCAGTGGCACACAACAGATCATCAGCTGTAAAAACAAATGGCCCATCAAAGTGAACAAGCCTCCCACCAGCCTCACCGCCATATTCAACTCCAACGCCACCAGGAACTGCCTTAGCAGCGCCCCCTGGAGCAGCGGCCTTCATGGCGGTTTTACCATTCTTTCCTTTTGAAGCAGACCTTTTCCTGATCAAACAAACAAGCAAAATGCAGCAGAGTAGAAGCAAAACCGCCAGGAGGGCACCAGCCGCTATGAGAATTATGTCCTTTGTACTAAATTTGTGGTGATGCTTTTTCTTCGAAGGCTGCTCCGTTGGCGGAGAAGATGGAAGAATCTGAGGCGGGGGAGAAGAGCACGGAGTTGAAGCACTGTACCCGCACAGCTGAAGATTCCCCGCGAAAGAGCTGGCATTGAACTTTTTTGAGAGCAGAGAAGGGACGGCGCCAGAAAGATTGTTGTGAGAGACATTGAACGAAGTGAGATTGGCAAGGCTGGAAAGTGAAGCAGGAATTTCACCACTGAATTTGTTTTCGGATAAATCCAGTTGGTAGATTCCAGAGATATTCCCAACAGATGCTGGAATGTGGCCACTGAAATTGTTCTTCCTCAGGTTGAGCACTGAGAGGTTCTGCAACCTTTCCAGGCCTTGCGGGATTTGGTTATCGAGGTGGTTGCCCTCGAGGTTCAACGAAACAAGGGAGGAGAGGTTGGAAAAGCTAGAAGGAAAGCTTCCATTGATGGCATTGTTGGATAAGTCTAGCTTCTGGAGCCTTGTGAGCTCCCCTATTTCTTCGGGAATGGTCCCGGAAATCTGGTTGTTGTCCAGATAAATCTCTTGAAGAAAACCCAATTTGCTCAGAGAACTAGGAATAGTTCCGGAAATCAGATTATGAGGGTCAGGATCATAAGTTGGTAACTTAGATTTCGATTTCCAGCATCCCAAGTGCCTGGTATGGAACCAGATAGGTTGTTGTGTTGGAGGGCAAGGATGGTGAGAGAACGGAATTTGGTGAGACTTGTTGGGATGGAACCCGAAAGCGAGTTGAAGCTCAGATTAAGTCTAAACAACTTCTTAGGATTTGCAAGACTAGAAGGAATCGTGCCAGTAAGCGAATTGTTGCTTAAATCAAGAGTTTGGAGAAGAGGGCAGTTACCAATAGAAGGCGGGACAAACCCCGAAAGCCGGTTGTTGAAGAGGTAAACCCCTCTGAGATTGGGAAGGAAGCCGAGAGACAAGGGGACAGGGCCAGCCAAGACATTGTCGTGCAGGCTGAGCTTCCGAAGCGCTTGCAGCTGCCCAATCTTTTCAGATATTCGGCCCCCGAGTCTCCTCCACGGAAGCTGGATTGCAATAACCTGTCCGTTCACACACTTAATCCCTGCCCACCCGCCTGAGCAGGCTCCACGTCCGCTATCATTCCAGCTGCGCAGAACGCCGGTGAAATCAATGAGCTCACGCTTGAAAGCTCGAAGAGCTTGGTAATCGGATTGAGTCACAATCATTCCATCATTCCCTCGCTGGCCCGAAACAGGCCGGTAAGTGACAACCAAAAGATGAACAAAGAGCAAGGCATGGATGAAGAAGGACTTATATTCCATAAACATCGAAGGACCGCAATTTCTACGAAGAATCGAAGAAGTTGGACGAAACAAGCTCTAGAAAACCCGAAAACGATGGGAGAAGCGAAGGTATCGTTTTCGGGTTGAGCTCAAGGTGTGAAGTATATTTTTGTAAGTGAGGAAGAAACGAAATGGAAGATAAATAAGGAGGCAGAAATAATTGAGGCAGTTGGAGCATGTGAAGATCTGAGTGAGCAAGGAAGAAAAATAATGTAAAGAGGTCAGGCAGGAGAGATTGGGTGGGATCGAAAGACTAGTTCTTCATCATCCTTTGTTTATCAGATAACGGCTATTTTTTTATTTTTATTTTTTATTTCTGTGGTGGAATTCCACCATATAACGGTTACGGTTGAAAAACCTGGAGTTTGGTCTTCACTTAGGTAAAAGAGTTATAAGATTCTCCAACGGCTATATTTCGTAGGGCACATTTGGCATCCAAGGGCAATGTGTTATCACTTGATACATGCCGTAAAATGACCATAATAACCTCTGGTGGAAAGTTGAAAGCCTTTGTTCGAGACGTCCTAGATTGATTCAGGACCAATGAATCCTGGGAAACTTAAAGAAACAATCTGGTGATTCTTGTAATCATGGTCATAATGATTAGAATTTATAAAAGAGCTCGAAAAATCCGTGGTTTATATACGACTTATTGTCTAGTTAATCTCCAATTCATTACATATGTTTTCTATTAAATGTTCGTAAGCAGTCTTGGCTCAAAACCAAGCACAATGACGTTCTAGAATTCTTACGGCCGGCCCCATTTAGTTAAATATGGCTTGGTTATTGTTGCTCGTAAGTGGTCTTATTTGTGGATTTTTTTGGTGTCCGATTATTTACCCAGAAGAAAATCTGGTGTACCGTGTTCTGGTGTACAATTCCTTAAACTCTGCAAACCAAAACAAAACAAAACAAATTTGATGGAGGGAGCAATGCAAATAATCCGACGACTATCCCCGGACTAATCACAATACCATCAGTTTGTATGAAGAATAGTAGGACGAGTATCAACCCTTTTTGTTTCTCTTTGCAGCAGAAAATCATTCATGAATCCGCTAGCACGAGGACAGTCGAAGACTCGAGCAACACATAATTTGCTAATGAAAGTAGCTCAGTAAATTGCAACCCGACGGAGAACCAAAGAAAACTGGACCGAACTTAAATCCTTCCAAAGGATAGGAACTAACATAAACAACACAAAATAGTTCTCTCAGGTCAAAACCTGATGCAATCCATCCATTGTACTCATAGAGGCAAAACTAGCTTCAAGTGCAATAGTTAGAAACGCTCACGGGTTCTCATAAGCCCATGCCCGATTCAACACTCACTATATGGTTAACTTGAACAACGTCACAGATGATAGAAACTGTTCTTATCTAAGATTTACAGAAGTCATGGAGATTATGTAAAGAAACTGGTGCTTGCTAGTCTACTCCATGGACAGTTAACAACCAAGGAAAGAATTCATCACGATATGGATGAGAACGACGCCTAAGTTTCAACCATCAAAACGACCAGGTATCAGCAATGGCATCTCAAATGCTTGCAAAACTAAACAAAACCTGATTCGGACAACTTAGCTATTGATATATTAGATTCACGGGCATTCTCCTAAGTCCTCACCAAAGCACAACTGAATTGCCAACAGTGTTGCTGTTGCTAAACAACAAGAAACATAGAGATCACTACCGATTCAGGAGCGTTTGATTTGAACTAAATTTGTAGAAGAAACAAAATTTCACTAGTTCTAACAAATGAACCGAGAAGCATACAGATCTGAAACTCGTGTTAGAGATAATCACAAAAGATCCAATGCCACGAGATTTTTACAAACAAGCTGTATAGTAAAAGATGCACACTGCCAAAAAGAATGAACTATATCATAGATCTGTAGCAATTACAAATTGTATTTAACAAAACCAAATGAAGAAACGAAGGGACAAAAGTTTGATTGATAGATATACCAAGAACCATCAAAAAACATGAATTTTCTATCTAAATCAGAACGAAGAAGGTACACAGATCCATACAAATTCGCCAAGAAAATTCACCCTACATATATATTTATAGAACAAATGCTTCAAATTTATTGTACCATCATCGTCTTGTGCGCTATCCAATCACAATGTGGGGACGTAGATCAGATCAACCGCGAGCGGCGGCGACGACGGCTGGGGATGTGGCAACAGCGACATTGGATGCGGCGTTGTTGAGGAAGGAGAGGAAGCCAGTGGAGGCGGAAGGCTCTTGCTCGTCGAGGAAGAGGTCCTCGGGAACTCTAAAGGCGCCGTGAGCGAAGACAACTGCAACACCGATGGCAAGAGCGGAGATGAGGACGGATCCGACGGATGTGAGGAAGACGACGAAGACGGAGAGGGCGATGAGGCCCCAGAGGGTCTGGGTGTCGGAGTATGTGCGGCCGAAGATGACGAGAGGCTGATCGGAGGGGCGGAAGAGGTAGAGGAAGAGCCAGGCGGCGAGGAGGCCGAGGAGGACGAAGAGGGAGAACGGGTGGGTGACGAGGGAGACGGCGACGGTGAGGGCGAGGACGGCGAGGTAGTTGACGCGGAAGTAGGAGTAGTTCTTACGGACGCGGACGGTGGCGTCGGAGAACGATTCCGGCTTGGAGAAGGCAGATCGGTCGAGGAGCTCGGACCAGGGGCGGCGCTGGGCGAGGCCGTTGCGGCAGGTGTCGTAGATGTTGTTGATGAATGCGCGGAAGGCCGGGGTAGCGATCGGGGCCTGGGACTGAGCCGTCCCTCCGCCGGCGGCAGTGGCTGTTGCGGTTGTGGATACCGGGAGGATCGGCGGGGCTGTCGGAGTCGACATTTTACGTTGTGGTGTCGGTGGATCTGGTTTTCTGTCTCGGATCTCTCTGATAACTTTTTGGAGGGATTTGTGGAAAATATTTAGGGGGTTTGGTTAAATAAGGAGGGGGACTTGTGAGGTGGAAGGTTGAAAGTTTGAAGAGAAGGAAGGTGGATGGAAATACGAGTTTATACGGTTCAACTTGCGTCGTCGTTACGTTTCGCCGACGGAAAGTAAACGACGGAAACCAGGTGAAAAATATTTTGACTATCCCATTGGTGAAAGGTGGTTTTCTTCTTCTTACCGTTTAATGTTTACTTCCAGGGTCTCAAGCTCAACCGCGTAAATCATTTGGAAAGGTTACCCTCCAGATTCTTTCATCAAATCCATCAATTCGAATTCTTCAAATTTGATCCAACAGTTAAAGCTATTATAATTTTTAAAAGAGATTCCAGTTTTTAGTTGTTTGATCAAATTTCAAGGACCCTGATTGATGAATTTGTTGAAAGGAATCCAAAGAAGATCCCTTTCCAAATCTTTTGACTCAAAAAAACTGCTTAAATTGTCTCAATCGTCACTCTATTTTGTTGTTTTTATTTACTTACTTACCGTTATTATTATTTTAATCGAGTTGATAGTTAATTGTTAGAAGAAAAAAGAATTGCTTTCCACCATTGCTATAGAACATCATTTAATAACGATAAGATATATATTCGATTTCAACCCAAATGTTGACATACATATCGAATAAAATTTCGTAGCTCAATTGATTAAAAACATCTACCTTGTATTTAAGCAGACGCCAAGTATTGGGCGTGTTAAAGGATCTAGGTGAGAGGGGGATCGGTCTAGGGTGGACTAGAGAGAGCTACGCTAGTTATAGGATGTTTTTCTCCGTAAAAACATCTAAGATCCGTACGGTTTCATCTCTCCCACTATCGCTTATATAAGAAAAAGAAGTACATACAGGTTGTCATATTGATGAATTTTATTAAACCACATTAAGTGCACCATATAAAAAGTTGTCACATTAATTTTGTAAGACAATATTTTCAAAAGCATTTGACATCGTGCAATGTAAGTAATTGTTAATTTGTTAGGCGATGTTGACCACCAAGGGGAGGGAGGAGGTTGTGGTGCCACTTTCTCACAACTCGCATGATAACCGCACATGAGTTTGTATAAAACAAACGAAAGAACAATCCTAACTAATACAATTACATATGCCAACCAATGCAATTTAGCTACACAGATTTTCAACTCAAGGCTCCAAACACGACATTTAACAATTCCACAAATTAACCACGGTGAAAAATTCACAAAGTATAAACGCAGTTATGCAAACACCAAACGGATGAACATAACACCCTGATTGCCAACTACAGGTTCCATAACATCATTGATCACTACCAGCTCAATACAACTTACGCCAATCGAAGAATACAACAAGCCTTTGATAGTTCCATTAGGTTCTACTTAAGCACGCATACGGAAAATGACAATAAACTAGTCTATGATTTCAAAGTACTTCGATAACATGAAATCACCACTTACATATAAAGCTGTCTGAAAGTTCATGGCGAATTTAAGACACTGTTCAAATGGTAACACGTACTCTAAAAGGTAGACCCGTTCCATCCAAAGTTGGAACCCTGCAGAATAGCAAACATCGGAATCATTAAACGTATCAACAAGTGGAATAAATGGCTACTAAACATGAGTTTGATTCTTGAGAAAGGCCAACAGGAGCAATGCTCGGGGTTTTAAACAGTAGAGATTTATTTACATGATCTAGTTCTGGTGTAAAGCATGCAAACACTGTGCATATTCTTGACTCTGGTGGGCCTAAACAAGCAGGAAGAATGCAATGAGAAGAAGCACATGCAGATGCCAATGCCCCTTTCTATGGAAAATTAAAAAGGCGAGATGGTGGCTTGCCTTGGTGTCATAGAACTTGAGAAAAAATCGTGACTTGGGCACGGACAACTTTGTCTCGAGAATTGCAGCAATTGCAGCACTCAACTTCTTGTTCACATCAGGATTCAGGCCGCCAATGGAGACCAACTCCCCATAAGCAGCTGGCTCCTCAGTCCCGCCAAAAGATATGGGTACTGATCCCTTCAGAACAATCATCACATACTGCATATCAACACACACGAACACAGTTTACATATGTGTTCGACACAATCACCATCAACCAAAGGGTAAAAAGTTTAACCCCAGTAAGTCACTATGAACCTCGCATCCAATATTAGTAGAACAATAGCTGTTTTATCATCTAATTTAGGAATAAAACGACATTGAAGTTATCATCAATAAGGCATGCCTATGAGGCTAAAAGTTAAGGGAAGTAATTACCTTTTTCTCCTCCTACACGCCCTGCTTATTTACGGCGTTTTGATTGAACAAATTAAAGGATAATCAATGGACACAAATAACCAGGTTGTGCAGAGGAGAAAACTGGAGTCCGAAAATCATTCTCCTAACTCTATAATTGTCCTCGTCCATGACTAACAGTTTGGGAGTGATTACGGGCAGGCCAAAATCACTTCTAGAGTGTTTAGCAAAATTTAAAAGTTCTTTAGATGAGTGATTACAGGCAGGCCTAAACCCCAAGATTATTCGACGTTAGCGCAAAATGAAAAAAGAACTTTTCTTTCTCTTCTAAGTGAGGGGCAGGAGAAAGGATCTTGCATCCATCTCGAGTTGCTCCCTTATCCGAGCAACTCGTTCTATTCTCTCTGTGGTCGGGTAGGTGAAGCGTCTAGCTTATCGGGTCTAGTCAAATCGCTGAAAAGGCATTGGTGATTCTCCAATTTTGTGAAACAATCCCTAAGAACTACATTATCTCCAAAAACAGAACAAAACAAAATAAAACCAAAAAAAATAAAATAAAATCCACAATCTCTAACAGGTTCAACTTACTGAGTATTATTTACCCTTTCTCCGAGTGTTCAAGTTATACATCCTACAAGTAGAGAAATTACTCAGTCATCCCCCAAAATTCTCAACAAAATATTGCAAATTACCAAAAACATTCATCCTATTTCTGTTTTAGAAAATTTACCGTTAATTCAGCAGAAATAAATAAACGTAAATTTGAAAAAGCAACACATCAATACATAAAATTTCCAATTTGGGACAAAAATTCTAAAGTATGTAAATGTGTGTGCTCGAGAGAGAGTGGGACAAAGTCGTACAGCCTCGGGTTTGCCGATGATCTTGGCGACGGTTGAGGTGGCTTCGGAGAGGACGGCGGAGGTGTCGACGCCGTCCAGGTTCACGTTAGCTGAAATGTTCAGGCACGGCATCGTTTCGTCTTCCCGGAGTCACTCACACTCTTTGGCTGTTTTCTGGAAATGCGTTGGTAAGTAAACCCTTCTGTTTTATGTGTGAGAGAAAAATATCAGTGTAAACATCACACTTTTCAACTACCCAAAATGCCCTTATGGGCCTGGCCTAATGTTTTCACTCTGGGCCCATTCCAGTACTTGCATTTCTGGGCTGAGAAGCGGGTCCGAAACGCGACGAGAGTAAGGGCTCCAAAATCTAAGGCCCTCTCTAGCATCCTCCTTTCTATTTTTTTTTATTTTTTTATTTTTTTAAACAAACGATATAATTTATACTAGGAAGATGGGTTGAGATTAGTCTCACAATGAACTAGCAATAATGTGGTTCAAATTCATTTTTGGCGAGAATCAAATCTAAGATCTTTCACTTACAAGTTGATGAATATCAGTAAACTGTAGTACTAAGTGGTCTTTAGTATACTTCTTATATTCAATTTTTAGTTAAAATAACAATGAATGTATCTAAATTATTGGTACTCAGTTTTAAAATAAAATTTTAGATTCTAGAAGGATACCAAACATACCTTAAAGGTTTCTGCTCGATATTCATTTTTTTTTTTGTCAAACAATAGATTTTGTTAGATTAGCCTTCAACAGGGTTTGAACTCACGTCGTCATATAAGAACTCAACACATTTATACCATTGTGGTAAAGAGCCACTTGCGCTCAATATTTGTTTACGAAGAGTGACTTTGGGTTAAGATTCGTCCCAATGGCCCGACACATCCACGAGTGAATATTCCGGACCTTGCTAGCTCAAAGAGATAAAAATGGACAAAGTGAAAAAAGCATTTACACAAAATCAATAAGCAATCGATGAAGTTGTCCAAGATCTTTCAAAAACTAATACAAAACTTTCATGATTTAGTATGAAATACTTTCAGCACTCTCCTTACGTATGGTGTATGTTGAATTGAATATATGGAGAAATTCTAGCGTTTGAAATTATCACACTTCAAAATCATTCTAAAATTCGAGGTGTGAGATTAAGAGGAACAAAAAGTAGAAGGTGATAGTTTAAGAGTGTAAATTATTAACAAAAAAGAGTCAGACAAAAGAAAATTTAAACTCATTAAATCAGATATCCAGAAACTACCAATGAAACTTTAAAATTCCAAATAAACGACTTCTTGTTGTATTAAAAACTCAGAAAACGACATGTACCTAAAATTCATTAAACATAGCTCATTTGTCCAATGAATGTGAAAATTTCCAGATTCATAGCAAACATACACGACTTACTTGTATCAAAGTTTTGCACGTTTTTGAGTTCCAGAAGTATAGATAATTGAAGTCTAAAATAAAGATGCTTAAGTTTTTTCGACTTTTCGAACCAAATGTCAGTCGCCTATTGTATTTAATTTCATTCACATGTGATTTGTATATCATCTCTTGGTGTACAATTTGACATGTTAGTTTGTCACAAGCGATATGTGAATGGTCGGTGATAATGATAGGACACAACCCTCCTCATAGAGTGGAAAACTACTACTCCCTAAAATCTGCATATGGGTGGGAATCAAAATTCCCTTTCCCTCTTTCATCTATGATTCCACCATTTGGATGTCGTATGGGACTACTTCTTTTTGAAGCATTTTGGAACAAAATGCTTTTGGTATAAACTCATTCAAAAATTTATTAAAATTCAAGTGCAAGTGCTTTTTGAAAAAAGCAATTGGGAGCACATTCTAGATGTGCTTTTCGGAAGGAGCTTCTACGATGCAAAATTA